AAACATAACTGAGTTAAAAGATATTTTAAGCTTCTATTCAATTCAGTATTTGATTACTAAAATTTTTAAAAACTAAAAATATAATGATAGCAAATCACTAAAACCATTTCTGGTTAAAATGATGACCTGTAGTTTAGTATTAATTAAAACATGATATGACTTTTTTTTATAGGTTCTTTCAAAATATTGTGAGTAAAAAAATGCTGTTGATAAAAATCTGCATTTGAAAGAATATATTTTAATGTAAATTGATTTATTGAATAAAGTTAATGTTCAAAATAAGAAAAATATATTTAATTAAGACAAAACGTAGCTGAGATAAAGGTTTGAAACCAAAAATTAGTTCAAATGTATGAAGTATACTGTTTGTCCTTACTTAGCTGACCCATTCAATTGGTCCTGAAATTGAACTTTAAAACCATAGTATAAAAACCAAAATATAGTCTTTATACTTTTCCAATTTCTAGAAACTGAAAATAACAGAACATATTTTCTTTCAACTGGTTATAAAAAGGTTAGAGGTTCGTTGATAATTAAATGCCTGCTATTGTTTACTGCTGTTTCCTATTAATATTTGATGCAAAAATAAGAGGTATAAAATTGAGTGGTTCTCTTCGTTCCAAGTTCAAACTAAATATCAAAAAGCTGAAACATTGAGATGAGCTGGCAGCTAAGTTGGTTAGTTTTATTTTATATTATATAGCTATTATTCTAGATTATAAAATTAACAGGAATGGCTGAATGTTTAAATATACCTTCTCAATCAAACATGTTTTTATTTTTAAAAAATCGAAATGAAATAAATTAATGAAAATAATAATATTTCTCAGAGGTGCTTTTATACCTTATGTTCCCAAAGGTATGCTATGTCTTTGTCAACACGTTGTTTCAAAACATGATTATAGTTTTAAGATAATTTTCTTTTTCTTAGTCAAATACAATTACCGAGAAAATAACAATCGATTCCTTCATCTTATGATACATTGCATTATTTCATTTCTTTCTTTTATTTTCATTAGTTTACTAGCCAATATTATAAGCAAATAATAATAATAAGGATTTTATTTTTAAAATCCTTATTTTTAAATGAGAGTATTTTTAAGTCAAGCAAATATAAAACTTCATGATCTCATAATTTAAAGTTTTAGTGTTCTTGATTATGCGATTCATATGTAAAAACATTATCACTAAAATACATAATATATTAGATTTGAAAAACGAGAAGTACTTAAATATTAGATTGGATTTTTTTTTTTATAAAAAAAATAAAAAAAAGGATTGGAGGTTGCAGTTAGTGAAAAAAATAAAATTAAAAAAAATTATTTTATTTATTTAAAATTCGTATTTTTTAGTTAATTTATAAAAAAGTAATTAATTTATAATAGACTGATGGGGATTGTGAGAATATTTTTAAAAATAAAATCTTTACTTAATTCATAATTTATGAAACTTAATCTTTATTTATTACTAAGTAGTTAAATATACTAAATTTAAAAAAAGTATCTGGTGTGGTGCACGCAACACAACACACAATTTTCACTTACCATCCTACTTTGAGTAAAAATAGGTCTTTTCATCATTTGATGGTTTAGACTAAAAACATCTAAGTCATTAGCACCTGTAATAAAGTAATACCACTATTAAAAGATTTAGCTAGTATCAACTGAAAGTAAAAATCATAGATAGTACAACATATTATTTGAACAATTAATTACTATATGTTCGTCTCATATGGTAATTTATGCATTTTTTGTCACTAACCATTTCCTTTTACGACTGTATAGTATAATTATTTATTTAATTATAATAAATAATTAAGTGCCACCAATTCTTCTTAGTACGACTTGAGTGTCAGATATTCATTTATATTTCATTGTGGTTATATTTTTTGTTTAAACACTGTTATATATACAGATTTTTATATTGCTGTAAGCTATATATATTTAAACATTAAATCATACCAGCATTAGCATTTATGAAAACCGTACATGTATAAGAACAAAATACAATCGGAAACTGTTCACCAAGCTTGAGGACACACTCGGGTTTTCTCGGCACTTTTCGACTTCTCATTATCACCCTATTACCCGAGTGAGTGCAAGTTTCAATTCTCGATCCCTCCACACCATCTCTTATTTCTTAAAGGTATTTTAGTCGAAGACATTTTGAACAATCTACATTTATACCCTGTTGGAGAACATCAATGAGGGTAAAACCTATATTAAAATGCACTAAATTACACATTAACATAACAAGTTTAATCAAAATCGTTTGACCAAATTTTGAGAAAATTGTAATAATGCATTAAATCGATTATATAAAGTTGCTTTTTTAAAAAAAGTTGCTGTAACCTCTCAGGTATATAAAAAGCTTTTCGTTTTAGAGCTAGACTTTTCACTCTCACACATAGAGACCAGTTTGCGAGACTTGGTTATTTTTGTGTTTCTGTTGAAGACTCAAATTTGAAAATTTTCATTACCGTAATACCTTCCCTTACTATATATTTCAAATATAGGTAAGCAAAATTAAAAATTATAAATTATGGAAAAGGAAGACGGGAATAAAATAGATCAAGAAAAGTTTTATTTATTATAATTTTTTCAAGAAATACAAGTTCAAATGAGTGGCATTCCAAAGAATTAATAAAACCGAGTCCAATACAATCAGTACCTCAATAGCTGTTACATAATTAATTTCTTCTCTGTTTTTATTTATTGATATATTGCTATTTTTATGATATTTATCAGCTCAATAAAATAATTATTGTGACTGTAAATTTTGAAATATATATATTTAAATTATTTTTAATTTCTCAAAATGAAAGTAAAAAGAAATATTCTATGTTTACCATGTATAATATAAATTTTATTTATTTATTTTTTTCTTATTTATAACAATATATGTCAGTATTTTTCTTTAGACAAAATATTATTTATATCAGTCAAACCTTGGTGGTATTTTTATTCTAAAAACAGGTAAATCTTTTATTACCAAATACGTCTTCTAAAAATTAAATAAAAAACAAAACCAAATAAAAATACAGATTTTTAGTTAAACAAACAAGAATGTATTTCGTTTTTATTTTTTATTTAGGTCTTTTTAAACAATATATTGTAAAAATCTTTAATTTCATATGAACTATTTATCTTTTTTTTTTTACACGTAGAAAGAGATAGATTCTTTACTCATCAATGCAATTTTTTTAAATTGCAGCACTCCATATTTTTTAAAACATTATGCTCCAACTACTTTGATGAAAATGGATAAAAAGCTATTTTTCTGCACTCTATGGTGGAAAATTCTAAAAATTGACTATCGTAAATTAGGAAAGAAAAAATTATATTATTTTCTTTTTAATTTGTTCATCAATTCAGCATATTGTTGGTTTATTGCAAAAATTCATTAAGTAACATTTCATGACCTTAAATAATTAAGTAAAAAAGAATGAATTTTTCCTTTGCAAAATCAGGAAATTGTGCACTTAGTGTAACTATATATGATTAATAAAAAAGTCTGTGTCAGTTTTTGTTCAGATAAATAAGGACAAAAATCACAAAAACATATTTAAAAATAAACCTATATCAAATCCTATATACTGTAAACCTATATACAGTAAACAGACGATATGAATTATTTATATTATATGAATCAATTAAAAAAATTATGAACCTATTAAAGTTGTCTGTAATTGTAATAGCCTTCAAAATGTTTTCTATATTTATTTTTTTCTTCATGTATAATTTTAGCATCTTAAAAATAAGAAATATGCCCTAAGTGTTGCACCAATGCTTATTTGTTTTTATGCTTGTGTTTTTCTTTTGCTTTTACAGTCATTTTGTCTTTTATGTACTTTTGCCATAATATGCTTCTGGGTTTTAATCAGTTTATATATATTTATATACCTGTCCTTTCCGCCCTCCGACCTATTATCTGCCACAGAAAAACTTCAGGAAGACTTAGATGGAATTTGTGAATGGGCAAGAGCAAACAAGTTGAAGTTGAATGCGGGAAAGACGAAGGCAATCTTAATAGGCTCCAATCACCTCTTTAAAACTGTTTCTAATATTCCAACTCTGTTCCTTCACGATAATTCCATCAAATTTCACCCCACCATAAAAAATCATGGAATAACCATTGATCAAACGCTTTCGTGGAAAAATCATATATCCAATATTTCCCGCCGTACCATTTCCACCCTAAAACGTCTAAATTATTCCTGTCACCTATTTCCTTTTGAAGCACGTTGGCTTCTAGCCACTTCCTTAATTTTCCCCACTTTGACTATTGGTGTACGGTATATGGGGGCTTCTCTGGGGATTTTGAGGCGAAACTAAAACGTTTGATAAATTGCTTTGTACGATTCATCTTCGGGATCCCAAGGGATGCCTCTGTTTCCCATTTTTATGTGGAGTTAAGGTGGCTTTATCCTTCCTACTGTCGTAAGTATTTCCTGGTATCCTTCCTCTTTCAAGTCATCCAATCCCACCATCCCTCATACATCTCTGAGCTCCTTCAATTCAAATCCTCTGTTAGTTCCCTCAATACTCGTTCCCGGTCTTCTGATTTATACATAAGGGCCCACCGAACCGCTGCTTCCGACAAATCGTTCATTATGCGGGAACTCCATCCCTTCCCACATCCATCAATCCAATACCTTCCTACCTTTAAATCCCGCCTGTTCAATCATTTCTTATCCATCCAGTCCCCATCAAATTGTAAATAGATACTACTGTAAATATGTACATGAATTATTAGTTCGTTCTTCATTATTTTTACTCCAATTTTTTTTATCTATTTTTTTATTTTTTTTATTATCAACTGATCAAAATTGGAAAGCAACTTATATGTACATGTGTATATGTGTGTATATATATATATATATATATATATATATATATATATATATATATATATATATATATATATATATGTATGTATGTATATATATGTATATATATTTATATATATATATTTTTTTTTTTCACCAAGACTGTTCAATTACTCTGTATTTTTATTTGTGTATCTCTGAGGCTCCTTAGCCCACATTTTTGTCTTCCTGTATTATTCTAAAGGGACTCGTACCAGAATAAATAAAGTATTATTATTATTTGGAACACCATGTGTGTTGTTTTATTTTTTCTATTTTATCTTTAATATTACTGTAACAAAATGTTATTGTATTTGTAGGTTTACATCCAAATTTATATTCTGGCACATTATAGTTTATAAATATTCAATTTAAACTCTGTGGTAGTTGGCTAATATATGTACATTCTATATTCAATATTGTTTATTTTCAATACTATGTTATTCTATTTTGGACCTCATCATTTTTCTTTATGACGAAAGAGTAAACAAATCTTTTAATTACAATGGTAAACAGATCTAATAATAGTAATAATAAGTTTTATTCTAAAAACAAAGTAAAGACAATTAGTGGTTATCACATTTAAAATTAAAAGATTAAACAAATTATAATTTTTCCATGCATCATTTTTAGTTTTTATTTATTACATCTCTACAGTGCAAATTCTTTGTTCTGGCATGTTTCCTGAAACAGAACAAAACAAAAAGGATTTATTCACTTACTTTCATTGCAGTACTTGTGTATTTCAATCATTATAATTATACTTCTGGAATTTTTAGTTTAAGATACTATTGGGCGAACAATGTTATCGTTGATATTCCTTTTTTTTTTTAAAGAATGAACCATCACTTCTGAATTGAAGTTGATGCATGATATTCTCATGGGTGAAATGATTAAGTTGTAATTAAATGCATGACCTAGGGAACCCAAAGTATTGAGAAAATTACCGCCAATCACTCTCAACATCCTTCCCTCTAATATTCATGGTCAAAATTCATGTCTGCAAGGAGTTGAGGGCCATTTAGACTACATAGTCTGTGGGCAGACTTCCATACTGTGCTCCCCTTCATCCCCCACCTCCTCCCGCATCCCTCCCGCATCATGTTTCTTGTAACTATTTATTAAGAAAAAAAGGCAATGTTCCCACAAAAAAAAGTGAATACACTCCCCAAAATGACGTCCAAACTTGACGGACTGACAACTTTGACATGAATTAAAAGGTACATACGGATATAAGGACGGTATAAGGACAGATATCTGGATTGGGCCAAATCTAATACATAAGGAACATTAAGGTCATTATGGATAATTTTATTTGTAACAAAGTAAGGAGCATTGAGGATTTTACGAAGGATTTTGGATTGTAAGGATTGGAGGCGAGAGGAATTTGAAGGTTTGGTGGAGCCCTCCCCCCAAAAAAAAAAATTCAGATTCGTTTTTAGCGTCTAGTAATACTCATAAACACAACACGGGTTTGTATTGAAACAAAAAATATAAATTTGTGGACTGATAACTCCTCAGGATTTTCTCATAAGAGGGATCACTGCAACTGCTGGAAAGCTTGATTATTGCTCTTCAAAACCATATTGATAACTTTTAGATTTTACGCCTTTATTAGGAATAAATAAATAAAAACTTCTCAAATGTTTTTCTTATTTATCTCGAAGTCTGATTTATTTTGTTTTGCCATTTTGTGTATAATGACGATTGGTCATTATAGACGATTGTTCATTGACTGGTAAACAGTCTAAATTCAGTCCACATGTCGTTCATGGGAGAGGGGAGGAGGGGAGCTGCTGTATCCTACTGTCACACCTTACGACCCAGTCTCTCATATCTGAGTATCATCTAAAGGCTTCTTTTCTAAAGACTAATATCTTTCTCTATCAAACTTATTCTTTATTTTTTTGTCTACATCTTCTCTTAAATCATAACCGTTTCTACTATTTTTACCTGTACCACTACAATTCATGAAGGTTCTTGGGTTCAGAACGTTGGGAAGTACTGTTTTTCGGTCAACGGTTATGCAATGAAGTGATTTGACCGAGATCACACACAACCGCCAGGTTTCCCTTTTAATTAATCAATTAATTATGAGTACCCACTTTATAGAGGCTAGGTGTGCCCTAGGAAGATCTGCCGAACATAGGGTCTATCCACGGCAGGATCTACCAGATGCATCAAGATTATTTTTTTAAAACTTTTAGTGAGTATTAATACAGTCTGCCACACTGAAGGGCATTGGTACTAGTGCTATAGTATTCATTCACACAATATGTAAATAAGAAAGGGAGAAAAAAAAGTATATATAAATAAAAAGATAAAGTAATATACAAGATAATTAAAACAACAGACCAGCCGAGTAATAACAAAACAAATAAAACACATTCACACCTATGTACAATATTTACATTGGCCCAGAGGACTCCGAATCAAGCTTTGTCCCCCAACTGTGGAAGCCAAAGCAGGACTCCAGAAGATCCCAGTGCTTCTCTCCCAGCCGCGTCACTGGTATAATAAGCCAGTGGAGGCTGATGGAGGGCTCTAGAGCAACAGACGCTCAGGACATGAGTGAAGAATCTGGCCAGTGACAGTACTCCAATATATACATTTTTACAAAAGGTCGCGGGGCCACTGCCGTTTTAACCTCCGAGGAGGATTGTAGGGATGACTGGAGGTAGATAGAGACTGTGCTACAGGATTAGGATAATGAGTGAGATTCTGGTGAAATTTGGAAAATTTGTCTGGGATTAGGTCAAGTACAAATGGGATACTAAGGTCATTGTGTAGGGTTTTATTGGTTACATAAAAGGGAGCATCGACTATTGTTCGGAGAACTTTAGACTGGAAGGATTGAATGCGTTTGATGTTGGAAAGTTTTGCTGTCCCCCACAGTTCGAGTCCGTAGGTCCAGATAGGTTTTAGGATTGTCTTGTAGATTAATAGTTTGTTCTCAAGAGATTTTTTATTGAGTAGTCTATATAGTTGGCCATATCGTCGGTTAAGCTGTTGTCTTTTAAGTCTGGTATGTGGGTTCCATGTTAGTCTTTTGTCTAAAAGGAAGCCAAGGTACCGAACTGTGTCGGAGAGGGGAAGTGGTATGGAGTTGAAATAAACTGGTGGATACGACTTGCGCCGAAGGGTGAAAGTGGTGTGTTTGGATTTAGATTCATTTACTTGGTCGCGCCACTTGTTACATCAGTGTTCAATAAGAGAGAGGTGACTTTGTAGGTTAAAGGATGCTGTTTCGGGATCTGAATTAGAAGATAGGATGGCCGTGTCATCAGCGAATGTTGCCAGGAGAGTTTCAGGATGAGTAGGAATATCAGCGGTAAATAGAATATAAAGGATAGGACCCAAGACGCTCCCTTGAGGAACTCCTGCCTGAATTGAATAACACTTGGAAAAATCAGTTCCACAGCGGACTTGAAAGGAGCGGTTAGAGAGATAGGATCGAAGTACCAGATATAAGGACTGAAGTAGACAGGTTTTAAGCTTGAAGAGCAATCCAGTGTGCCATACCCGGTCAAATGCTTGCGCAATGTCCAGAAATGCACCCGAGCAATATTGCTTACTTTCTAGGGCTGAGGATATATGGTCAACAACTCGGAGGCCTTGTTGGACAGTGGAATGTTGGGTCAAGATTATTAAAACAATTTTAAAACAGATCCTTAAGACAAAATATTGTTTTTTTTCATAGTTTTGGATTAAATTCATTTGCTCTTGATGCATATATTATCTATTTACTTATTTATATAAATATCCTTAGTATAATTACCATTGACGTTTACTTGTATCCAGTCTACGAAAGAGGTGACATCAGTTTGCACAGACAGTCCAGGATTAGAAGCAAATGACACAATGCCGACCTGTACGTGCTTACCATTTATCGTGTACTTCAAGATTGATGGACTTCCAAAGTCTCCCTGAAATGAGTATTATATATGTATAAAATAACGGCTTGCGTTAAATTATTTTTAGTGCGTGAATTATTGAAAAATACAACGTAATGCTTTTGATTTCTGAGATAGACCAATGTGGTATTACCAAAGATTTGATGATTTTCAACATTTTTCAAGTAAAGCAAGATAAAAGAAATGGAGAGATCACTTAAGGTACTTGAGAAGACATGTCAGTTTGCTAAGCATGTTTCTTGAAATAACACATGATTAGTCCAGCCAATGAATGTTCGAAAAGGGAGTATAGAAGGAAATGGCGAAGATAGAATTTTTGGACATTGTTTGGACTACTAAGTAGGTAAATTTACCATAAGTCCCTATTCCTAAATGGTGAACCAGATGTGGGAGGCGCTTTTTTAGTAGTTCATTTTTTGGGGGGTTTTCGCTTAAATCGGGGAAACTCTTTCGCATCGGCAAAGACGTTCAATTAAAATTTTCAATATGATTGATTGTATACGTCTTTTCTTAACCTCGCTTAGTTTCCGAGATATCCGTCCTCAACTAATGCTAATTTTGAAGAAAAAAAAATTTGCTTCGTATTTACTGTTATTTTTCGGGTTTTAATCCCAAATCAGCAAATATGCAATCTACTTATGCGAATCTTTTTCTCATTTTAGTATTCGCTGATGAACAAAACTCGTTGATATCAAACCCGTATATGTTGAGGGATTACTGAATTTCCCAAAAACGGCTTCTTCCAGAAATTTTATTCTCAAGCGAAAACTTTTAGACCTCGTAATTATAGATATTTTTTGGGCAATGCAAACGGTGAGGAAGCCATACTGATCTTACTTGGCAGACGTTTTTATTAATGATTAATGTTGTGTTTGAAGCAATCCAATATAACTGGGCAGTACCCTTTTATGAAAATAATGTGATTCTCTCCTTTCTAGGATGTATTATAATAAACATGATTGCCTAAATAGACTATTTGTATATTAAAAAAAATTAAAAATTATGAAATTTCAAATATTTTTCAGATAAAGTGCTTATGAAACCTGCTTTTCGCCCAGGTCTTTATTATATGAATTGATCCTTTTTTTATAAGTGACAAACTAAATATACCTGATTCTAATATTTACGTTATAAAAATAATTGAAGCTATTAGTAAATTCCTTTATTTTAAACATAAATTTCAGCAATAGAAACATTTATCTTGTAAGTTATAAATATGGGTCAATTCCTATAATTTGGATGACAAACAGAGTTTCATAACCATTTTAACTGAAAAATCATCATTATTTTTTTTTTTAATTTGAAAGGTTGTTCAAATAATATAGCCACGTCATGCAGCACATAAAAAGGAGCCTAGCTCGCAAAAGGTCGTGTAATTCAAATTTCTTTTTTATATTGTTAGGTATGAAGTGCATATAAAAAATTCAAGTTTCCGCCCCTGGAAGCCTTGTGGTTCGCTGCCGTGCTCAAAACAACACCATCAACATTTGAAATTTCGAACATTTTTTGGTTTATGCTAAATATCTCTTTTATAAAGAAACATAGATAAAAAATAGTTATATTAAATCATAAAGAGCTTAAAATTATCTTACTTTTTTTTTGGTTTAAATTAATTATCTGTTTTTAGAGGTGATTAATTTTATAAAATTAATTAAAATTTTATAGATTAATTAATTTAATTTGGAAGATTAAATTTTTAAATTAAATATTTAAGCATACACAATTTACAATAGCTTTTATTGGAAACATACTTCTCTAACAACTTCAATACAAATCGCTAAAAAGAAATTAAAATTTTGAAATTTTTAATTTTAAACTTTAATTTTATTTTTTCTGTTATCCACCAATTTTAATGAAATTAGTCATAAAAAATTACTGTTTTTCTCTTCACAAAAAATTGTTTTGGACAACTATATTATTGAATTAATATTTGTTCGTTGATACAATAAAACTATGCGATTTATGTGTAGTGAATGATGTGGCTGAAAACTAGGCGTCTATGCCACTTTTCCGCCTATTAAGTGTATTTTGTACATAGCTGCTTCAAATATTTTAAAAATTAATCGTGTTTTAGAAAGAGAAATGTGAAACCTGAAAGAGCACTGTTGTGAAGAAATTGAAATGGGTAAATTGTGGAAGCTCAATAGATCGCTTCCTGTTGGGTTTAGAAAAATGGTATGTAAAAATGTCGGCTAGAGTGACTTTCAATACTTGTCTGAACGTTCCTTCTTCGTTTTCTGTTAGTTTGAACAGTATATTTTGATTTTTAGGAATAGGTCTTCGAGTCGAGGGCAACTGCTTCTTCCAGAGAGTCAGGCATTTCGTTTACAATAATAATAATAATAATAATAATAATAATAATAAGGCTTAGCGAACCCGAAGGTTCGATGCCGACACCACCAATCGCTTGTTACACACCTCCCTCCACCGTTCGCCGTCCAAACCCAGTCCCTTCAGATCGGCTTTAATGCAATCTTCCCACCTTCGCTTCGGTCTTCCCCTCGGACGCTTACCATTCGGCACAGCAAATATTAACCTTTTAGGAATTCTCTCGTTACTAAGCCCAACAACTCTACAAGCCCATTTGATTCGCCGCGATGAAATTACCTCAATTATATTACCCGGATACATCTCACGCAATTCGGCGTTGTGTAACCGTCTGAACTCTCCGGTTAACTCATCCTTCTTCGGTCCGAATATTCTACGCAATTAAATCCCTATATTTCAACTTGCGCCATGAATCCCCTAAAGCAGTCCCCACCCGGAGACCCGAACGGGGGACTAGTTTACCTCCGGATAATGAGCGTTTTACCTTAGGGAGATCCATGACTTTTTGTGGTGTTTGGTGAACTAAAGATATGTGAGTAGGGCGTTCAATCCTACGTCACACCCTCCAGCAAGTCTGGTGGGTCCCTACCTCCAGCAAGTCTGGAGGTCCCCTCCCTCCAGCAAGTCTGGAGGGCCCCTCTCATTGTTGGTCAGCGAGTCCATCGGACTTAGCCGGGAGGAACTTCCAAGGAATTTCCACCAACCATCCCCACATTCGCCACCCATGGGACGCTCCCCATACGCGGTAATGAGCCCGCGCGAGGTTCGTTTACAATGCTTTAGAAATTAAATAGAATTAGATTTTTTCTCGAATCGAATAATTTTAAGCTGTTTAATATTAAATATAACCATTTTTTATAAGAAAACCGATTAGCGTAAACCGAAAAAAGTTTGAATGGTTTTTGGAGCACTGCAGCGTACCCTAAAGGTTTTCAAAGGCGAAAACTTCGATTTTTTATATCCACTACACAACTAACAATATATTAATAAAAATATATATAAAAGAAATTTAAATTACCCGACCTTTTGCAAGGTAATACGTCTAATTTGACTGGGCTAATGATATTTAGTATAATACAATCCAGATCATGGAAAAACAAGAAATAAAAGCTTTTCTACAATTTATTGAAGTAATTTTTGCTGAAAAAACGGGTAATTCAAGTGAAAATATGTGAGGGGGGGGGAGGGCACATTTTGACGGGATGAAAGGAAAATTTATTTGCGCATAACTCAAAAAGTGTAGAGTTCATGGTTGATTATGCTCATTATGATTCGAATGCCTTCTTAAGTCCCTTTAGAATGATACAAAAAAATTATCAAAATGAGACCATATTTAGCAAAAACACTGCTAATTGTAATTTGTATTCATGTTTTGGTCAGTCATTTTTTATTAATATCCATACGATTCATACTAAATCCTCATACTTACCGAAAGGACATTCTTCCCTTCTGCGTACGTGCACAAGTTGTTGAGAAACCTCAGATTATATGCACTCAAATGAAACCAATCATAGCAAGACACAAAAGGATAAACTGTGAGATCCACTTCAAGAAGGTCGTCCGAATTGGTGATACTGGTAGGTGACGTCTTCCCCCAACCTGCAGCCAATCTCTTTGCTATAGTTTCTTAAGTAAAAACACACAGATCATAATAAATACCTTTGACTTACCGACCACAGTTATCATTGCATTATGATTATCTAGATACAATCTCCTTGTTGGAAAGCAGATAGGGCTAACGCTTGAAGTATATTGTATTTCTTTATTTGTAGTCACCAAACCGATATCGTTGACAGTAACTCCATTTGCATTATCATATAATTGATGGACGCTTAATAATATTGATTGGATCAATTTTGTTATATCAACTGATGAACCATGAAACAAAGAAAATAAATATTAGGTTTAAACTATTTTGAATTTGATATAAATAATTGATGAAGAGAAGGATGGTTGGGATGATCAGTCAGAAATAAGAAGGCAAAAATAAATAATAATATTTGTTTTAACATTTGCCGACGTTTCGACGTGAAGTTCAAGCCTTTATCAGGGCTAAGAAAAGAACCAGATAACAAAGTATGAGAAACATAAATAATGTAGGTAAAAAAAAATAAAGTAAAATGAAATTGGTAAAATAATGGCAATAGTTAGAACTAAGAAATAAATAATGATAACCGTTACAAAGTGTGGAATGATGAAGTAAAGATAATCAAAAAAGGTGACATAAGTATTAAAATGATAATCTTAGAATAAAATGTAAAATAGAAAAAAGGAATATGAAGTTATATAAGAAATGAAAATAAATAGTGAAATTAAGATATTGCAAATAGAATAGTTAGATAGAAAATTGAAATATTGTAAAGTCTATCAAAATGTACTGAGAACGTATATCAACTATTAAAGCATAAATTATCATCCTTCATATCCCAATCTTTGAATTCCTATCTTACTTCTCTCTGTGTTCGTGACAATATCCTCTGGAATTTCACAAAAAAAAAGTACAAAATCCCATCATATTTTTCACCTCTTCGTCGATGCTATGGCTCTTGCGAAACATCCAAGACAAACATAAGACAAAGATAAGGAATTCGCCAGACACCTCTCCTGTTCAACTACTCTTCATCTCACCCACACTGCAAAAGTAGAAGAATTCCTTTCTTTACCAACCCCACTTTCCTTACCATCTAAATCAGTTAATCCTTCTGAGATCAAATACCTTATACGTAAATTCACTCTTTATAAATCTCCTGGATACCACTTCCAAACCCACAGATCCTTTGACTATCCTGAAGCCTATTTGGACCTACGCACTAGAACTTTGTGGGCAACAAATTTTTTTAACATCAAACGCATGTAATCCTTTCAGTCCATATTCCGTTGAACCATAGTCGATGCTCTGTTTTATGTTACCAATACATCCCATTTGTCTTGGACCTTATTCCAAAAATCCAGAATCTTACATATCATCCTAATCTCCTTATTTATTCGCTATCCAGCACCATCCATCCCTATAATTCACCAAGAAGATTTAAATGGCAGACCTTTTGTAGTATGTATATATTGGTGTTCTGGCAATAGTCAGATTCGCCGCTTGAGACATGAGTTCCAGGCTTTTGGAGAGCCAAGGCTGCTTCGCTCAACTGATTGCAAATAGTGTATATAGGTATTTATGTGTTTTTTTAAATTTTACTTAAGCTATGTAAATGTGAATGTAGTGTTAGCTATAACCATATAGTGTAACCATTGTCCTAGTAAGAGAATATTATATTACTCAATAAAATAAGTCTTTTTTGGGCAATTCACTTTGCATATGGAGGATCACAGAGAACAGAAAACCAAAGCTTAAAATACTTACTTTTACTTAACTTGTGTTCACCAACAGCGATCAAAACTTGGCTAGCATTCCTCCCCACGAGGCAGCGAGCGGCGGTCAAGACATGCCGTGGTGTAATGATGCTGCCACCGCAGATCAGTCTCGGGTCATATATAGTAGGCTCTAGGAGAGCTGCTACCCATGAGTGGGAACTTTTGTCTGCTGCCTCGCCGTTGAGGATCCTCATCTAATTTACAACCGTCAGAAGAAATATTTGAAAGCAATCATAAAAAAAATTCATATGGTACAGAAATGTGTATAACTTTATACAAAAAATAGCGAATACAACACTTTTGAAATTTTCAAGCGATGATATTTGACATGAAATTTATAAAGTTGTCTCGTTTTCACTATGTTGTTCCACAACGAGGAACCGATAAGGAAGATTTGTTAATAATACAGAGATTTCAGTAAATATCTTATCTATATAATGTGAGATTTTAGTAATTATCTTGCAAATTCAGTCTAGAAACTTAGAAAGAAAAAATTCCTGTCTATAACTAAATAAATTTTTACCTAATATAATTTATTCCTTTCCGTCATAGAAAACTGGAGGGAAAGTATTGAAACAAAAAACTTGAAAGGAAAAGATTGAAGAAAAACTCAAACAATCTCGTGACTTATAATTGATACTGAGGTACTGTTATCAGCACACCACTCCATGTATTCGGTTTTATCTTCATTTAGTTGTAGGTTGCTTTGCTATTCTTCTCTTACCACAATATCCTCTTGATAGTAATATCGGTTATAGATATTTATGATTGATTAGGTAAATATCCTTATAAAATAAATGTTCACTTTTAAAATATATTATATGCAAAACATATTTTATTTATGATTGAAAAAAATTAACAATAATTATAACGATTGGTCTTACCAAAATGGTTGAATTTTATACTAATTCAGAATGTTCGATATGCGATAATAAATTCCGTTTTTCAAATATCTTGCTTATATTAAAAGTTTCTCAGAGTTTTTGCCGTTTTATGCCTTTTCCGACCACTGTGTGGCGTGGGTTCGATTCCCGCATGAGGACGGAGATTAACAGGGAATAAGACAACTCAGTGTCTTACACCGTAGTTCTTGGCCCTCCAGGTTGGGGGTTGGGCAAATGGCTAATAACCCTATTCCATAAAAAACACCTTATTACGAAACCAAAACGTAAATCGGTAATCATGGTAACAACCCCGGCTTTGAATCACGGACTATACATTGGTAGTACGTAATTTATACAGAGCAGGAGTCACAAATACGGTAGTCAAGGAAATAAAAAGGTATAATATAATGTACCGGTATCTCCAGTTGGGGAATTGATTCATATTTATAAGTGACAAAGTAAATGTTCTGAACCCTTATATTTACGTTTGCTTGAAAATAATTATAGCAATCAGCAGCTTGCTTTGTTTTAAAAGTACATATTAGGCAAAGAAATATTTATTTCTATTAGTTAATTCCTAGAATGGAGATCTTGATAAAATATATTGGGTTGTCCGAAAAATAATGCAGGATTTTTAGTTTTCTTTAAGATATCCCTCTATATAGCAAACTGTTTACGTTTACTGGATTATTCATTTGTATGAATGTCAACATTTATTAATCCTTTTTCAAACGATAATATTTGTTTACCTCTGTAGAATTTCGCTGCTTAGAAATAATTCAGTCTTTTCTGAGATGTCAACGCGTGATTTTGGTATAATTTTGTTTTACAAGTTTAAACTCGACCGGAATGGGATCCAGACGGCCAGAAACATCAATCAAGGCTGGAACGAGAGCAGCCTTAATGAGCGCCCTGTTCAACGGTGGTTCACTAATTTCGGGAGGGAGGCTTCAGCGTTGAAAACAGAGAAGGTTGTGGAAGGGCTTCCTCTTTTGATGACGATGTTCTGCGGGCTTCGGTAGAAGAAAACCCCACAACAGTTCGAGAACTTGACCTTAGCAAATCGACCGTCGATGACCAGCTCAAGGCGACTGGAAAGGTAAAAAAGCTTAAAAGTTGGGTTCCACACAAATCAAACGACCGCCAAAAAAAAAGCGTTATGAAGTTCGTGCTACACTTTTTTGTCAAAACAAAAACGACCTTTATCTGTCCAGAATTGTTACTTTTGATGAAAAGTGGATACTTTACGACAACAGTAGACGTTCTGGACAGAGGCTCGACAAAGGGGAAGCAGCAGATTATTTTCCGAAGCCCCCAACTCATAAAAAAAAGGTGATAGTTACAGTTTGTTGGGTTTCATTTGATTTCATACACTACAGCTTCTTCAATCCTGGAGAAACCATCAATGCCGAATTGTAACTAAATTAATGTAATCCATCAGAGATTGACAATAATGAAGTCATCTTTGGTCTATAGGAAGGGGCCTATTTTGTTGCATGACAACGCCCGGCCATATGTTTCACTTGTGGTGTCACATAAATTTTTGGAGCTTGGATATGAAACTCTGCCACATCTGCCCCACTCTCCGGACCTATCGCTTGCGGTTATCATTTTTTTAGACATCTGGACCACTACTTACATGAAAAAAATTTAATGGACAAAGGGAAATAGAAAATGCGTTTTTGGAGTTTATCAATTTTAAAGATGGGAAATTCAATTCCGAGAAAATGGAAAAGTTGCCAACACGTTGGCAGAAATGTATTGATAGTAATGGAGACTATTTCGATTAAATAAAACAGTTGTAAATCTTTCTTTTTTAACCACAATCCTGCATTATTTTCCAGATAACCCGATAAATTATAGGATAAATATTAAAAAAAATCTTTATTTTTCACATTTATTTTTCTATAAATAAAAAATGTATTTATATTTATTATAATACATCCCAGGTCATGAAAAAAAAAACCAAAGAAATTATTTGAAATAATTAAATTAAATTATTTGAAATAATTCATTGTAGTCATATTTGTTGAAAACAGGGGCACTTTTAGGTGACAGAGTATAAAACACCTTATTTTTTTCATGACTTGAGGTAAATCTCAACTTATTTCGTAATAAACCTCAAATTTATTAATATGAACTGATTTATTAACATACTGACTGAACCAACACAGTATATCCACCACAAACTAAATTTTACTCTTCTGTCCCAAAGTTACCGACCCTGTCCCAAAGCTATCCCATCTTACGGTATAGTTATGTGTTAAATCGTAATACTTTGTTTTGTGTTATATTTAGATTTAGTGGAGATAATGTATAACTTGTCCTTCCAAACAGAAAATAAATATTACCTTTATAAACAGTTAAGTAGAACAATTAATAGACCAAAAGGATTTTTACAAAATATTTATAAATTTAATAAAAAATGTTTGATATCTATCTAATGAACATTACGTACACGTTAGTTTTCATTATTATTTTGTCATAATCACAATTAAAAACCTGTTTTTACATTTTTATATGTTCGAATTAATACTTATATACTATCATTATTTGCAGTTAATGATAGTATAAATTCTTTTGATGTTATTGTAGACATGAGAAAAAAAAAAGAAAAAGATTTGTAATGTAATTATGAAATCTTACACTCAGTGATGATTTTTGTTTACCATCCCTCCTTGCGGCAACAACATATAATCCGAAATACATAATGACCAGTATCTTCATCATGTTGAGAGGAGCAAAAATCTGCCTATAACACGTCAAAACACAAAGAACAAACAATTACTTGTTTGTAAAAGCTGTTAAAAATTGAATCAACATTTTTGACAGCAATTATTTGTAATAACTAGGAAATTATATAATAAATATAATAATAGTGCCTAGTAAGCCCGAAGGTTCTATGCCGATGCCAGACAATATTTGCCTACTATACCCACATGAATCCTAAGCCAACAAATGAAACTGTTGGATGACAACTACTTACAAGTGGAGGCTGCAGTCAATAGGCCATTGATTTCAGCCAATTGTTTTTCAGTGATACTACATCAACAAATATTGGACACATATTCTGGAGTTCGTTCCAATGGGCCCTTGGAACCGATATTTTTTTTTTTTTTATAATTTCAAACAAAATCCTTGTTATTTATTTTCACAATATTATATATCAGTCGATTTCTTGTTATGTGCATAATAAGAAAAAAATACTGGTAGGCCAAGTAAATTTTTGTTATGAAAAAACAAATTAGATTTTTTTCTCTCTCTTTAAAACGCTTAAATACGAATTATTATACAAATAAAAAAATACAACCTTAAGTTACTTGATTTTCTGGAATGAATTTTTTTTTTTTTTTTACATCTCGTGTAAATTTAAATATTATTTTTTTTTTAATATTACAAACTCTTTAGGATTTTCTTCAAATTCAAGTGTAATAAAACCGTTAGAAAGCTGAATTATTGTTATTCCAACCGACATCAATAACTTTTGGATTTCATTTTTTTAAAGCTAGAAATCGAGAAAAACTTCTAACACATATTTATTTTTTATATTTAGTTCTAATTTGTTTATAAGATCGGGTTTATACTATGTCATGTAGCATACAGAGGCCTAAATCCCTAAAAATTCCAAAATTCCCTAACCATCCAAATATTATCACAAATTTTGTGATTATCGACAAAATTTTGGAAGTTTCAGTCTAGGCAAAAATTTTGTGCATAAATGTTTTATTTTTCGTTTGGAATAAAAATTATTTTTTGAGAATTTTTGAGATATGAAAAACGAATATCAATTTTGTTTCTATCGAAAAAAATATTTACTCTCGCATTCATACGTTGGTTGGTCTATACTGTAGCTATTCGTCAAATATAATATTTATCCTTAACTGGTCTGGTTTAGAGAGTAAATATTTTTTTTGGATATATTTTGTTTTTTTATTTATTAAACAATATAAATTTTGTTTGAAATTATATATATATATTTTTTAAAATACTAATGGGATAACATCCATCAGACATTTAAAAATAATTATTACATGTTTTAAAATAATAGTTTCTGAAGTTATATAAGCGGCCCAAACTAAAAACTATAAATTTTAAAGTTGGATGCTGTTAATTAGAGATGTAATAAGCATTAGAATAGAGATTTGAAACTAAAGTATTCAATAAAGCAAAAATAATTATATATATATAAAAGAAAAATCTATACCAAAACTAAAATATATGAACTCAATCCTACTCCTATGATACACAAACTTTATGTACCTTTAACGTTTACGAAAATTCGAGGAACTGTCTTCTGAAAGAAGGAGATTCCTTATTTATAACTAGTTTTGATGTGAGATGATAATTTTTATCATACAATAATTTATAGTTAACTCATATATCTTCGAATACTGCCTAATTAATGTCAACTTTTATTGCAAATGTCATTCAAACTTCACTAAAGTGGATGTTTCCTTTAAAAAAATTTATTAACATTTCAAAAATTATTGAAAATATTTATTTAATGGCAGGTTATTTAAATATTCATTTAGAATTTGTCTATAATAAATTATGAATTAGCTAATTTTTACATATACTTGTGTTGATTTTTTCTAAACATAAACAGTTGCTGTGAATATTATATAAAACCTCAGAATTTAAAAAATTTAATAATCTGATTATATAAATTGGGTACTTCATAGTTTGTGGGATGTACAAACGTAATTGGAAACAAAGCTGTAACAAATACTTTTTAAAATGTCCAAATATTTAGAAAAAAAAATATATATATATATTTTATCTAATTTACTTTTAAAACTAATCAAGATTAAAATAATATTAGAAATCTTGTCCAAGCCATTTGGTAATAATTTTTAATTTTTATTGATTAAAAATAATTAGGCATATCAAATAATTTCTTAATACATCTCAGACAATTGGTAATAAGTATTTAATAATGAGTAATTGTTTTATAATTGTAAACTCATTGCTTCCCCCCCTCCTTCCTTTTATAATTAACTTTAATACCTAATTATTTATAGAGAAATACTTTATTAAAAGTAAGGCTGCCCTACTACATAGGGTTGCTTCGTACACAGAATACTTATCAATCCATACGGACATTAATTTTATATTATATTTTTCTTTCTTTTTTCTCCCCCTTCATAACAATACTCTTACAAATTATCAACAATAAACCATATTAAACAATAGACATACCATAATAAACACTTTCCAAAAATAAAAAAAATTCCTTTTTTCCCTTTAAATTCTCAAACGTCAGGAACGTAATATAACATCGCATACATATATAACACAGCAATTCCTTGAATGTAGCCAAAAAAATAAGACGATTATGGACCAATTTAAAATTAAATAAATAATTACTAAACTACAGTAAATGTATTTAATATTATAAATACATGATTTATACATCCATGAAATGATTTTATATTTTATTTCATCTTTCACACAAGTACACTGAAATAGTTTTTTTAACAATACCATCAACTTGCGTAGGTGGATTTTAAATATATTTTTAAAAAATTAGCATTACCTTATTAACACTTTCAAAATTCAAAAACCGAAACAAAGGATATAACCATTGCAGCAGAACGTATTAAAAAATAAAACTAGAGACCATATCTTATCTTCTAATTGTCCGATTTTAATGATTTTTTTTAGGATATTCAATAAACTTTTAAAAAACCATATACAACATTCCCAAAAAAGTGTATACTTTTTGAGTTATTTGGAATTTAATTTTACCATCCCTCATAACTTTTTTTCAGCTTCTTTTCGCTGATGAATGTTATATAGGTAAATTTGAAGGTTGTCGAGAAAATGACTTTAGCGAAGTTTCAATGAAATCGGTACATTCGTTTAGGCGCTACAGTCTATAGCTACGTTTTTCTGCATTTTTATTTTTTTTCTCCTTTATTAACTTATCAAATTCTTTCAAAAGTTATATTTAGCATTTTTTCGTAACTCTGAATAATGTACTTAATGTACTCATATTAAAGGTACTTTAGAGGAAGACGTATATGAACATTGGGCATTTAAGCCCTGTAAAGTGACATCAATGGGGATAAGACCTAATTTATATTAAAGACCACTTAATTATACAATGATACACCGAGTTTAATCAAAATCGTTAGAGTCGTTTTTGAGAAAACTGTGAAAATGTGTTTCAGCGTTGATATAAAGTGGCACTTCCGGTTAGCCGATTTTAAGGAAAAAGTTGCTGTCACAACTAAGGAATATACCTATCTTAAATACGTGATATCAGTTTCATAGGACTTTTCGTTTTTGAGCTAGACTGCTAACATACAAACACACAGACACACATACCATTTTTCGGGACTTGGTCATTTCGACTTACTATATATTACATATATACGTAAGTGAAAGTAAAAAATAATAATATGTATATATATAAATAATTGAACATTATAAGGGAGGAAGCATGAATAAATAAATAGAAATAATCTATTAAAAATTCTCATTTTTTCACAAATATAACAATATATATATATATGTACATAAAATTAAAATTAAATATCTGAAATCAATTTATATGGTATATATAATATATACTTATCCTTCACACCTTCAGTTCCTCTATATTTTTCTCTTTCTTCAGGATTTAGGTTAATCGTAATTTATTGTTGTATTAGAGTGTGTATTATGGTCATTAGTTGATTGTAATATGGATTTTAATTTTCAATGTTACATTTTAATTTTTTTTTTGTGACACAATATTTAAATTCAGAAGCAGAACATGAGGTTTGATAGGATCTTAATGTATTAATATTATAAATTAAACTAAATAGATGATTGTTGCACGTTTTTAGGTGTAAATTAGACTATTTTATATATTTGGTGTTTTTACTGCACAATTTTGCACATTTTGAGTTTTTTACTGCAAGTTTTTCAGATTTTTATTGTATGAAGATCCAGTATCTATTAATAAATAATAGTAGTACAATCTATAATTATTTATTGGTTAAATATATTGATGTAATTTCAAATCTCTCTAGGCATATATAGCTCAAAAGACAGGAGCTAAATGGTTTACAAATACAGATGAAATTAAGAGAATTTTATTGCCAACCGTCAAAAGATTTTGTGTTAAAAACAATACAATAATAAAAAAATGATCTTAATGAGCAGTCTCAGGTTAGCTGTAAGGTTTGATGTTTAGCCCTGTTAAAAATACACTTTGAAAACTTGGTAATAGCCCAATATTGCCAGAAAATAATTTGTATTGAGAGTAGTAAGTGAAAGTTGTGTAATGCACACCAGATTTTTACTTTTTATTTTCTTTTCAATTGATGTGTGTATTCTATTCTACAATTAATTTTTTTTTTTTTTTTATGACATATAATATTCTGTCTCGTGGACAATGATTATAATGATAAATGAACACATTCACACCATATATACAGATAATAATAAAAATAAAATTTTTTTGTATGTGTGTATTCAAACTTTTGTTAGCAACTGTATGCAATTTGTTTATATGAACTCAGTTTTTTTCAAATATTTCTTTTTTGTGTTTTATAAATAATTAAAAAAATAATGGACATAAAATATATGCAATATAGTCTTGTAATTAGACTTGTAAGATTTAAATAAGTTGCATTTGTGAAAAGGTTTAGTTAAAAAATAATTGAACATTATAAGGGAGGAAGGAGGAATAAATAAATAGAAATAATCTATTAAAAATTCTCAGTTTTTCACAAATATAACAATAAAAGCTGAAATACTAAAATATAAATGCAAAGATAATAATGTAATCATATACAATAGCCGATCCAGGATTTATTTCTTGTTTGTTTAATAATGGTAATTACTATGCACTAAAAAAAAAATATAAATATAAAATGATGTATTAGTAGCCCTCAAACTGTTAATTTATTTTAAACAGTTATTAGCGGTACAATTATGCTTTTTTTTAAATGATGTTTTT